CAAGACAATGAATTCCATTAACATGTGAATACACTAGCTGCCTCTTTGTTCAAAAGTGCATTGCAGTATTGGTTAAAGGAAGCCACATGTGTTGATCAGAATAAGCTGGAGAAGATAAGAGAAAAGTTACATAGAACTACATGGCACCAAGTGTTTTTGCATCTTCATTCAATTAACATCTGAAAACAACTGGCTTTGCATTCCACTTCCCCTTCTCCCATTTTCTGCCCTTTAAAATAATAAACCTGGAAACAGTTCTGGGCAAGCCTGCCTCCATCAAAGGAGTTGGGACCACCTGATTCCAACTTTTCTCTACATGTGTGTCTTTGTGTGTTAATTTTTATATTTAATCTCTCATCCCTGACCACCTCTCCCTCCCACCAGAGCACACATTTATTTAGCCATGCTGGACACAGCAGTATCTGTTAACAGATGAGAGAATGTTGAACTGCATTGGTTCTTTGGGTTCAGATCACTAAAATTAGAGATCTGTCCCTAGGCACAAAATGAAACCGCAACCATGAATGAAGTAGGTAGAAAAGAAGAAAGGAATAGGAAAGAAAGGAAAGTATACCCAAAAAGGCAGGCAGATTGCCAGGTGACAACTGTGTTTGATACTGGTTAATTGTTACTTTTATTACTAGAGGTGATCATGAATATTTATTGGTGAGAGGTCTGTCATACTACCCATGTCTTTCATTTGAATTCAAATCCACACATTTTCTCCTGCACTTGACCACTTCTCTCACAGGTAAGGAATGAGAAATTTGATTACCTTATTGCTCATGCCCAGTGTGAGCCAGGTTGTTTAATTAGACTGCCTAATTAATTCATTGTCCTAGTGGGAATTAGGGCTTTGACCAAAACACTTACTTGGGGATTAGGATGTTGACCAAAATGCTTGCTTGGGTCTTTTTGATAAGAGAAAAATCTATGACTCATCCCTGTGTGCTTCCCTCAGGCCTCAAGGAAGGAAGATGGCAAATTTCCTCACCCTCCTGGCACCCGGGGCTAGGTGAGCCTTTCACTTTTCTCTTAGGGCTGCCTGCTCATGACTAACTGCCTACCACATATCCTTGTATGTACTTAAGTCCTTTTAGCTAGTTTGAATTTTAAGATGTACTATTAGACACACCTGTGTTTGAGATACTGCTGTTCAAGGAATTTAATTATTGGTCAACATTTAATCAGAGTCTATTAGATTGTATTTTTTTAATGATAACTTTTGGGAGTTTGCAACCCTTGGCAATTACACCATCTTTAGCAATTATACAGCCTTCCAGACTGTCAGGAATGTCTGATTTTTTTCATTTTGCTTTGGGTTGGTTTGGTTTTTGATTTTTGTCATTAGGGCATGTGCTCTCCAGAGAGTTAGAGAGACAGTGAGAAGGAAAGTGAGAAATCAACCCTCAGGGGGAATGATCATGCTGCAGCCTCTATTCCTCCATTTTCCTCTTGGTTTTTGAGCAAGCATACATAGATGCCTGGTATGACTGAAGCTGCCAGGTCCAGGAATTGATTCATGGTCAGCCATATGGGAGTCCAACACCTTAACCACTACATCACTGCTAACCCCATATAAATTTCTTACCCATTGATTTATAGGATTTTTTTCTCCATATCACATTTACTTATTGCTCAAAAAGTCATACTTATGGCCCCAAAACAATGAGGCTTAAACACCTTTCTAATTGATCTATGTCTGTCTTGGAAATTTCTTTTTTTTAAGTTCTATATAGGGTATGTGCATTTACAAGAGAGAGACAGAGAGAAAAAGAGAGAGGAAAATGATAAATCACTCCCCTCTCACTAGGGATATGGCTATGTCATAGTCCCTTCTTCTCCATTCTTCTCTTGGGATTTTGGGCATGCACACAAGCACACACACACACACCACAGTGTGTTTTTCAAGCTCTTGGGTGCAGGACTTGAACTGTACTGTTAGCCATATGGAATCCAGTTGCATTAACTTCCATGCCACCTGCTTTCTCTGTTATTCTTATTCTTATTCTTAATTAGAAATTACTAGCAGAGAAACACAGGGAGAGGGAAAAAATAATCCACATGGAGAATGGTAATACCACAATCCTACTCCCTCAAAATTTTGGGCACATATGCACACATATCTAGTGTGTTTTCAAAGCTACCTGATCTGGAGTCCAACTTCATGATTGATCCAGTGGGTCTAGCTGCTTTATTCACCAGGTTATGAAGCTGGCCCTTGGAAATATTTTTTGTCATTTCAACAACCTGCTCTGCTTGGTCCTGAGTGAGTATAGTACCACTCACTAACCATCAAGATGAACTCTAATCCCAGGAAGATCCAGGAAGATCTTTGCAGTCTTTTTTGTTGTTCTCTCTGTTAAACTTTGGATCACCTTCCATTCTGGTTGTTGATGAACAGCTTCAAAACAACATCTATGCATATTTTTTCAGTAAGATTACTTTTTTATTTAAAAAACAAAAAACTTCTCCTATGATTTAAACAGGATTATTCTTTTTTTTTTTTATTTTTAGATGTTTTGCCTTAGGTCATGTGCGTCACTGGAGAGACAGAAGAAATTATCCCCAAAGGGGATGGGAACACCATAATCCCTTCTTCTCCTTTCTCCTCCCAGGATCTTGGGCACACTCACACCTATGTCTGGTGTGGGTTTCAAGACACTGTATCTGGGACTTGAACCATGATTGGCCATGTGGAAGTCCAGCAATGTAACTGTTAAATCATTTGCTGACCCCACAGTTTGTGTGTGTGTGTGTGTGTGTGTGTGTGTGTGTTTGTGTTTTTGTTTTTGTTTTGCAGCAAACTGAAGTAAAATTCTCTATGGTCTGTATCAAAATAGGTCAGTTTCTTCAGTCAGCATTTCCAAATTCTCCAATGTTTTGTTACTCTCCTCTATAATATCCCATGACCCATCTCTTTTCCCAGGAGGGCCTCTGCACCACCAGATAAGACCTGCTGATGGCCACAAGCAGCCACTTCTCCAATAGTGGTACTTTGCTCAGTGGGTTGACTTTGGCTGGTGTGTAGCTCCCAGTATTCCTTGCTTGCTTTTCCTAGTGAAAGTCTACCATTTAATTGAGCTCAGGCAAGAGCAAGTAGAGCCCAGTATTCTCAACCTGTTGTAGCTGGAGAAGTTCCTTTGTTAAATATAAGGGATGGGTTCAGTAAAGATGACCTTGTTCTCTTAGCTGCATCTGACCAGAATCAAACTTGACATAAATTATGGGGATGATAAATACTGGTGGCTTGTTGTTTCCTGAGTAAAACCATAGTCCCTAATTGGAATCTGAGGATCTCCTATCTTCTTTACTATATCAGTAGAGATTATACTTTTTTTTTTTTTTTTGGAGAGATTTTCACTGTAGGGCGCATGCGCTCGCCAGACAGACAGAAAGAGACATAGAGACAGAAAGCGAGAAATCACCCCCCAGGGGGGATGGTCACGCCGCAATCCCTTCTCCTCCATTCTCCTCTTGGGATCTTGGGCACGCACGCACACGCGCCCTGCGTGAGTTTTAAGCCACCGGGTCCGGGACACGAACCGCGGTCGACCACGTGGGAGTCCAGCGACATAGCCATTACGCTAACTGCTGGTTCCCGAGATTATACTTTTTATAACATGTTTCATACAATGGAGCTGGTGGTTAGGATGAGAAAACAGGTCTAAATGCTAGAGAGTCTCTTTTTATGAAATGTTTGTAGATTACTTCAGTTAGTGTTTCCATTTTGTTTATTTTCTTGGGTTAATTTCCAATAAAATTGTCTTAAGGAAATACATGAAACAAAATACAATAAATATATATATAATACATACACACATAAGGAAACATAATATTATATATAATACATACCTCTATACATATATATTCATATTCAAAACATATACATGTGGGTGTATGTGTGTGTGTGTGTGTATTATATACATTATTTTCCTATAGGGTGATTGCACTCACTGGAGAGACACAGAGAGAGAGAGAGAGAGAGAGAGAGAGAGAGGCAAAGTGAGAAATCATATCCCTGCAGGGAATAGCCATGCTTCAACCCCTTCTCTTCCATTCCCCTCTTGGGATTTGGGGCACAATTTTTTCAAGCTGCCAGGTCTGAGACTCAAACAATGCAGTCTGCCATAAGGGATCTAGTGCCTTAACCAACAAGCTACCTGCTGGCTTAAACCATATTTCATATATATAATTATATATATTATTTTTTTTTTCTTTTTCTTTCCAGATATTGGGTTGTTGGTTATTTTTCTAGAAGAGAGTTCATCTCTCCTTAGGCCTCCAGTCTGAAAGTCAGTCTCTCTAATTGATTTTTACATGTTAATTTTGTATTCTATGACTTTGTTAAAATCATTATTTATAGGCTTTTTTTGTGATTTCTTATAATTCTCTACATAAAAGACCATGGATTTTGGACACACAATGCAACTTTACTTTTTCATTTCCAAACTTAATGTCCAAATTCCTTTATTTCTTTGTCAGTTCTGTTTATACTATCATGAAAATTCTGTGTAATATTTAAGATAAATTGTCATTGTGGACCTGTGTCTTATTTCCAGTTCAGATTAAATTAAATAGTTTTCTAACATTGAATTTGATGCAAGCTATAGTAATTTATAATTTCCTTTTATTTGAGTTGACAAAGTTCCCTTCATCCTGTATTGCAAGTGGCATCAGGATGATTTAATCTGGCTCCTTAATCTCCTTATTAGCATGTTTGGAGGCCACAGGGTAAACAATTTGCATTATTGTGTGTACAGTGATTCTATGCTTGTTATTTAATGATGACTTTCTTGTTTTATGCCATTGAATATAATACACATGTGCATGTGCAACAGCTTGGTTTTGGCAATGAGTCATTATTGTCTGCAGCCACTTTAAGAGCAAGGGGCGCCTGGTCAGGTAGTGCTGCTCTGCCCTCTCCTACACTGCTCTGCCCTGTACTGCCTATGTAGCTAGCCATGCCCATGGGACTTTGGTTCCACTGCTCAACCCTGATGGCCTTGTCAAGACTCAGCTTTGACTCAACTCAGCTCAGGACACTCCAAGAAGGAGGGAAACACTTCTTGAGGGCTCTTCACACGTTACAAAGTCTAAGAAAGAAGGCTTTTGTGAGTGCTGTTCTGGGTTTTGTAAGTCTAATACTAGCTCTCTGAGCATCCACTAAACTCCACCAAAAAGCAACATGACATCAGTGCTTCCCATCTCTTCCCAACCCCATATATCTCTATTCAATTTAGAGAAAGAAAAAACACTTCCCTAATTGGTTTATTGTTTAAATCATAAATAGGTGTTATATTTGGTTAAGAGGGTTTTTTTAAATCTTGTGAGGTGATCACATTTTTTTCCCCCTTACTTCCATTAAAATAGTGTAATACTTTGATTTTGTAATATTAACTGAAAGGTGTAATGAATTCCATTCAATCATTTTTGAATAATCTCTTTTATATGTGTGTTGTCTTTACATTCATGAACAACATTGCTTCATAGTGCTTCATGTTAAATGTCTATTTGAAATAGAAAATAAAACTGTACTCACAAAATGACTTAAACTTTGTTACTCTTTTTCTTTTTTCTTTTTTTTGAAGAAGTTTTTGCTATAAGGCGTGTGCGCTCGCCAGACAGGCAGAGAGATAGAAAGCGAGAAATCACCCCCCAGGGGGGATGGCCACGCTGCAATCCCTTCTCCTCCATTCTCCTCTCGGGATCTTGGGCACTCACGCACATGTGCCCGGCATGAGTTTAAGCCACCAGGTCTAGGACTCGAACCGCGGTTGACTACTTAGGAGTCCAACAACATAGCCGTTACGCTAACTGTTGGTCCCTTTCTTTTCCTATTTTGTGTAAATATTTGTGAAAAAACAGAGCTACTTATTTAAAAAAATATACATTCGGCAGTATTCAACAATGAAAAGATATTGACCTGGTCCTCTTTGTCTGGAAATTTTATTTATTCATTTGTTTTTAAATTATTATTATTATTAATTTCCAGAGAGTTCATACATTCAGCAGGGAGAGAGAGAATGCACACCCACAGAGGAGCATGGTCACACCAAAATCCTTTTTTTTTTCCCCTTTAATTTCTCTATCCCATCAAGATTTCGGGCATGCATACACAGATACCCAACATGCTATTCAAGCTGCCCAGGGTGGAATGTGAACTATAGTCAACCATGTAGAATCTAGTTTCTGATGTACCACACTTAACCACTGTGCTGCAAGTCAGCAAATAAATTTTCATTTCATTTTTTTCTGTTTATTAATGTAATGAGAGCTAGAGACAGAGAAACACGGTCACTGTTGACAAGGTCTCATCAAGTGCAGATCCCCTTCTCTCAGCCCTCCAGCCAGTTAGGTCTTGCGCACTATGTGCACTGTATGTAGTTGAAGTCAGTTCAGAATTCAGACCTGTACTTGGCCATGTGTCTTCCAGTACTGTAAAGCATCACACTCTTGCCTATACCACTGCAGCTAGATCTATGTGGGAGGTTTTAAATTTTTTATTTAAATGCTTTTTAAATGTCTATTCATCTATTTCCTTTGTGAAAAAGAAGGGCATCCCTATCACAGTCTTCACACCATGCTCCACTCCCAGTCTTAGCCAGCCTGGATCATAGGCTTGTGTATAAGCACACATAGCAATGTGCTCAGGATGGCCTCTAAATGTTCATCCAGGACCTTTACAAGTAGGTCATCTTCAAAGAGTATTTTTTTAAGATTTATTTATTCATCTATTATTATTATTTTTCAATTTAACCACAGAGAGACAGAGAGAGAGAAAGAGAAAGCGAGAAAACAAGCTACCATATCTGGAATTTGAACCATGGTCAGCCATGTTGGAGTCCACCACTCTTCACCACATCACTCGCCAGTCCAAGTGTGTTGTGTTTTACTGTTGCATCAACACCCAATCCAGGGAACCATCAGTTAGTGTAATGGCTATGTCGCTGGACTCCCACGTAGTCGACTGCGGTTCGCATCCCAGACCCAGTGGCTTAAAACTCACACCGGGCACGTGTGCGTGCGTGCCCAAGATCCCGAGAGGAGAATGGAGGAAAAGGGATTGCAGTGTGACCATCCCCCCTGGGGGGTGATTTCTTGCTTTCTGTTTCTATGTTTCTGTCTGTTTGGCGAGCGAGCGCACACGCCCTATAGTGAAAATCTCCTCAAAAAAAAAAAAAAACACACCCAATCCACAAAATGTATAGTTTTAACCAAAATGTATAAGATAGGCGAATAAGAGCAGTCAAGTGTGACCTATAATAAGAAAACAAAATCAACATAAACTAACACCGTCAAAAACTAATCACAGATAATAGTAACTGTATCTAAATAATTGACATATTACAGAATTCACAAATATTATTGTGATTATTTTCAAAGAACCAAAGAAACTCTGGATTAAAGAATTGAAAGAAACAATATTGAGAATGACTTACCAAGTAGAAAATATTAATAAAGATATGAAAACAATTTCTTTTCTCTTTTTAGGATTTTGCCTTAGGATGTGTGTGCTAAAGAGAGAGAGAGAGAGGAAGAGAGAGAGAGAGAGGAAGAGAGAAAGAGAAGGAATGGCCATGTTGCAATCCCTTCTTCTCTGTTCTCGCTTGGAATTTTGGGCACATGTGCACATACATCTAGCATGATTTTTAAGCCACTGCATCTGGGACTGGTAATGAGGTCATCCTGTACAGCACCTTAACTACTATGCCAACTGTTCGTCCCTCTATAGATACTACTTTTTTAAAGAATTATTTAGAGGCAGCAAGTAGTGCAGTGATTGTGGCACGTGACTCCCACATTGTGAACAGTAGTTCAAGTCCTAGACCAGGAAGCTTAAATTTTATGCCAGGTGCGTCTGCATGCATGCCAAAATTCCAAAAGGAGAATGAAGAAGAAGAGATTTTTGAAGTGGCCATGCCTTCTTGGGGGTGATTTCTCACTTTCTCTCTCTCTGTCTCTCTCCCAGTGTCTCCAGAGAGTACATAGACCCTACAGCAAAAATTTCTCTAAAAAATAAAAATTTATTTAATTTCATTTATTAGTCTTTTAAAAAATATTTGCTACAGAGCATGTACACTCACCCACGAGATGAAAGAGAGAGAGAGAGAGAAAGTGAGAAAACAAGTCACCAGATCTGGGATTCAAACCGCAGTTGGCCCTGTGGGAGTCCAGGACCTTAACCACCATACTACCTGCAGTCCTAGAAACTATTTTTAAATGAATCAAATGGAACTACTGGAGATAAAACCACATAAATTTACTAGAGCACAGCAAATTTGAGCTGGCCGTAGAAAAAATACAAAATGGAAAATGATAGAGATAATGTAATCTCAAGAACTGAAATAAAATATTGTAAAAACTACCAGAAAACAAATTATTTTCTCTCTTTTTTTTTTTTGTTGGAGAGGTTTTTTATTTATTTATTATTTATTTTTTGCTATATGGCACATGTGCTCACCAAAAAGACAGCGAGAGACAGAAAGCAAGAAATCATTCCCCAGAGGGGATGGCGATGCCGCAATCCCTTCTCCTCCATTATCTTCTCAGGATCTTGGGCATGCATGCACATGTGCCTGGCGTGAGTTTAAGCCACCAGGTCTGGGACTTGAACTGCAATTGGCTACATGGGAGTTCAGCAACATAGCCATTATGCTAACTGCTGGTCCCACCAGAAAACAAATTCTTAGAGACATGTTAAACATCTTTAAGCTGGAGTCAGCAGGTGACATGGTGGCTAAGGTGTTGGACTCCCACATGGCCAACAATGGTTTCAGTCCTGGACCCAGTAGCTTGCGTTCTCACATTCATTCTCTCTTTCTCCTCCCTCACGATCTCTCTCTCTCTCTCTCTCTCTCTCTCTCTCTCTCATATCTGTTTCTTTATGGTCAAATTAAATAATAATAATCACCAATATAGAAAATAAAAGAAATAGTTCTAAAAAGAGAAAACAAAAATTTTAAGCCTGGACCATCAGGTGGCATGAATGTTAAGGTGGCTGGATCCCAGATGGTCAACTGTGCTATTCAAGTCCTGGATCCAGTGGCTTGAAAATCATGAAAATCATGGTGTGTGTGTGTGTGTGTGTGTATGTGTGTGTGTGTGTACCCAAAATCTTGAGCGAAGAGTAGAGAAGAAGGAATTTCAGTGTGGTCATCTCCTCTGTGAGGGTGATTTCTTACTTTCTCTCTCTTTATCTCTCTGGAGAGCACACATATCCTATAGAAAGAAAAATAAAAAATAATGAACAAACAAACCTTCAAGCTCAGCAATATACACACATTGAGAGTCCAGAAAAGAGGAGAAAAGAAGGGAGCAAACTATCTTTAAAAAATATAGAATATTTCATATTTAATATAAACCACTCTTCTATACTCATTAAAGAGATTAATTAAAGAGATCCCTATGTAGACACATTACTGTTAGTTGTTGGAAGCCTAAGACAAATACAATAACTTTGAAAATATAAGGTATTGATTATGAATAAGGGTTACACAGTAAATTTAACAACTGACTTCATGAGAAATAATGGAGAATGGGAGGAAGTAGGATTAATATTCAACATATAGTAAAAGAAAAAGGAAACTGTCAAATAAGAGTTTTATATCTATCAAAAGTATCCTTCAAAAATTAATTCAATGGACCAGCAGATGGCATGAAGTTTAAGGTGGCTGGATCCCAAATGTCTGACTACACAAGTGCTGGACTGGCAGCTTGAAAGTCATGTTGGCATGTACATACATGCCCAAAAATTCCCAAGAGGAGATTGAACAGGAATTGCAAGGTGGTCATCCCTATAGGAGGTGATTCTCACTCTCTCTCTCTGCCCAGTGACTGACTGTGCCTGACAGAAAACAAACAAAAAACAAGTAAACAAAAACAAACAAAAAGAAATTAATTAAAAATAAGGACCTTTGCAGATAATAATGAGAGCTAGTAGACGTGTTTATGGGAAATACTAAACAAAGCCTCTCTAGATGAAAGGGGTTAACATCACAGACTGATTAAAATTTACAAAAAAATTACATAGAAAATTATAAAGAATATCTCTGTCTATCTATCTATCTATTTATACACATTAGGTTGTCAGGTAAGTCATGACTATCTTTTTCATGTTTTCGATGCAAAATGCATCATGACTTTGGCTATAGATTTCATTTTCTCTTTTAAATAAAGGAGAATATTTTAAATGTTTTTTAAAGCAAGAATTATAAACAGTATTTGTGTATATCCAGTGTCACAGAACCCAAAGTTGCTAGTGTGTAATTGAGATGCCATAAACTCCTCACCATCTTTTGGCCCCAGAATGACTTATTTAAATTTGAAAGTGATGTGGAAGTGTGTTGATCCCCAAGGTACACAGTGTTTCCTACATAAAGAGAACTGTTTGTTCTGAGAGAAGAATGTATTTCAGTTAGCCTCTGTTTCAGGTAACAGTAAATTAATTAAAAAATAAATTTAAAAGTAAAAACTTCTTTCTGAATTTCCTTCTGTCTTTTAACTCAATCAATGAAGGTAAGCATTTTATTTAAGCTTAATACAAACAGAGAAACATAAACTACTTTTGTTCAATATTAAATTTATTTTGCATGTGTCTATATTTCTAGCACCAGCAAAAAGACTCAATCACAAACATTTTATAAAGACATTCTTTTTGTTGCTATTTTCTGTTTAAAATTTAAAAATTCTGACTCAGATAGCCTTGGCAGTTTTCTAATTTTTGGTATTATAAGGTGAAATGAGAAAGAAAAGTGAAACATTTTGAACATAACAGCTGCTAGTTTCAAGATTATCTTTATCATCATCATTGCCACCTTAAATGCTAACATACATTAACTGATTACATTATGTTGAGCATGTATTCAAACATAAGTATTTTACATCTACTAAACTATAATTATGGAGCAAGGTAATGAGTGGACATTATTTAAATGAGTTTGCAACTTCATAATATCAAGTAGCTTCCTCGTTCATTAAGGGTTAAATTTTATGATAAATGAAACTAAAAATGCTAGGGTAAAATTAGTATGTTTTCTTCCCTAATTGTATCACCAGTTTCTGATTTTTATTTCCAATCTTCTGTTTGACTTGATAAACTTGGTTTGTAGGTAAATACCATGTACATTGAAATGATAGAAGCTGCATTTATAACACATAGGAAAATGAAAAAAAAACATTAATTCTGTGTGGAAATTCAGAGAAATAAGCATGAACTATTTTAATGAAAGCAAGAGTGGCTATATTTAGCTAAATTATCTAGAAATGTCCTTTCTAAGCTATATAAATAGAAGGTTTAATGTTTCCTAGAAGTCAGAAAAACTAGCTGTTATGTTACACAGGATTTGAGGAATATTTTTGAAAGTACTGTCATTAAAATATAGGAATAATATGGATAAAATATAAATAATTTCAATATTTCTACTTTACAAAAGTTTTATATTCAACATTTCACTAACTAGTCACTAAATTGTTGTTATATTTTACAGATAAAAGATGATATCCCCTCAAAAAAAGATTTCAGTAGTTACAGAGCCCTGCATTCTTGATTGTAAGCCCTATATTGACTTTATTACAGTAGTTGCTTTTTGGAAACTTATTTTCAGTCAGTTTTCTTTCTAGTGTACCACTCTCTTCGGGACAGTGAGAATCAACTTAGAGAAGTTATCTAAGGATGAGCAGAGTTTGCAAAAACAGATGTGATAGAGACAAGGGGATGGTGGTTTCTGAAGGCAATGTGGGTGCATGATACACGCTTGGCTTTGAAGTTGTGGTCATGCATTCGTCGATTTTCATCTCTGCCCATGTATTGAGCCCTAGATTGTCCTTCATTAGCTACAAATTTCTGACCATCTTAGAGACTCATTAACAACATTTTCCCAATTCCTACACTCAAATCGTCATTGGGAAAATTGTATAATTATAGAAGAATGCTTAAAAACTTTGAGTATTTTAATATTTATTCTAGAATACTATAACTGACAAAATGAATTATTTAGCTTCCCTTTGCTCAAAGGATATCCTCAGGATGACCGAATTTGTATTCGTTCTTGTTTCTGTACTATTTACATTTACATTTTTTTAAGCTCATATCTTATTTTAGAGTATAAAGAAACTTCAAAAAGTTTGTAGAGGGATCAGCAGGTGGCATAGTGGTTACATCACTGTACACCACACAGTTCAACCTGGGCCCGGTGACTTAAAATCATGCTGTACAACTGTGTGTCCTTGCCCAAAATCCTGAGAGGAGAGTGGAGAAAAAGGAATTGCTGTTTGGTCATACCTCCTGGATAATGATTTCTCACTTTCTGTCTCTCTGAATCTCTGGCAAGTGCATGCACTCTACAGCAAAAATATCTCTTAAGCAAAGTATGTGGAAAGATGAAATTAATGTTTGAGTTTACTTTAATGCAAAACATTTTTAAATCCATGTGTTTTTTTATAACATTCATTTTCCTTGACTTTTTTGTATACCCTTGTATGTTTATAAGTGTTTAATCTCTCTTTGCAATGAAACTAATTTGGCTTTCAAATGAGTTAATATATAATGTGAGAGTTACTTACCATCTATTAAACATTATAAGCTGATATGCTACTTTAGTAAGAGAATAAAAAATAGTATAACTTCTGAAATGATGCACTCCTGCACACATAAGAGTGCACATACATTCCGAAAGCAAGTTTAATCTTGGAGAGAGCTGAGGTTGCATTTTGCCTAGAATTCCATATTCACACCTTGGGTGCCATTCTAGAGTAAGCAATTTGACTTAATTCAACTTATGTAAGAATATAGTAAATCCCAGCAGGTAGTGGGGGCATGTACAATGTAAGAAAATCTCACAGATAAGTTTTGGTTGCTATCACTTTTATACAATAAGAATCATAAAGGGTCCAATCTAGAAAGAATTCTTTTCCATTTTTTGTGGAGAAGGCTTTGCTATAGGGTGCATGTACTCACAAGACAGACACAGAGAGACAGAGACAGAAAGTGAGAAATCACTCCCCAGGGGGGGATGGCCATACCGTATTCCCTTCTCCTCCATTCTCCTCTGGAGATCTTGGGCATACATGCACATGCGCCTAGAGTGAGTTTTATGCCACCAGGTGTGAGACGCGAACCACAGTCAACTACATGGGAGTCCAGTGACATAGACATTACGCTAACTGCTGATCCTGAGAAAGAATTCCTTTCCTTACCATAGATGCTATGTGAGCCTGCATTTTACTCATGGAGCTTTCCTAGATAGAAAAACTTTAAGAATTCTATTATTCTTAGTAAAAACATGAATAACAAATGTGACTGCTGATTTCTTAAACCATGCACTGAACTACAAATATAATTATAAAGATTAAAAATCGCATCCAATAATGCTTGAAGTTCAGTGTATTATTTTTTTATGGCAAGGTTTCATAAAACAATGGAAATATCACAGGAAAAAAATCACTTTTAAAAATTAAAATTAAGCAAATTGATAGACCGATAGGTGATGTGATGGTTAAGGTATTGGACTCCCACATGGTCATTCATGGTTTGAGTCCCTGACCAGGAGGCTTGAAAATCATGCTGGGAATGTGTGTGTGAGTGTCCAGAATCCTGAGAGGAGAATGAAGAAGAAGGTACTGTGGCATGGCCATTCCTCAGGTGAATGATTTCTCATTTTCCCTCTCTCTCTCTCTCTCTGGTGAGTGCACATACCCAAGACAAAAAACCTAAAAAGAAAGGAAAAAAATTTACATGTAAGAATGAGTTAGATGTATTAGAAATCCCTACTTTTGCAATAACATTTATATTGAATTAATGATAATAGAAAACAGACTTTCAGAAGTGAGAATAAAATGTCAACTGAAAGAAGAAAGTCACTGCTATAACTGAACGTAAATTCAAATTATGAGTTTGGAATGCTCAGATGAATAGCAAAATGTAAATAATATTTATCAGAAATGAGCAATATTAAATACTTAATAGAGGGACGAGCAGGGGATGTAAAGGCTATGGTGCTGGACTCCCACATAGTGGACTGCAGTTCGAGTTCCAGACCCAGTGGCTTGCAGCTCATACCAGACACAAGTGCATGTGTGCTCAAATTCCTGAGAGCAAAACGGAGAAGGGATTGTGTCATAGTCATCCCCCTTGGGAAGTGGTGATTTCTCTCTCTCTCTCTCTCTGGTGAGCACATGCACCCTATAGCAAAAAACTCTCAAAGAAAATAATACTTAGCAGAAATAAAGGAGTACCCTCCCTGATGTATATGCAAGAAAAGGAAACCCCTGGAAATGGAATTAACTTGTAATTCTATTAAATAATTGCTGCAGATACATGGAGAGATACAAGCAGAAGACAATGTTTCTTCAGTGGTGCAGTTCATACTCCTGGGATTCTCTGACCTTCCGAACCTCCAAGGATTACTAATTTGGGTATTCTCTCTCATCTACATGATTATCTTAATGGGAAATAGCCTCATAATAGTAATAACAAGGCTCGACCCTGCACTGCAGAAACCCATGTATTTTTTCTTGGCAAACTTTTCCTTCCTGGAGATCTGCTATGTTTCAGTCACTCTCCCTAGGATTCTGGTGAACCTGTGGACTCAGGATAGAAGCATTTCTCTGCTGAGCTGTGCTGCCCAGATGTGCTTCTTCCTTATTCTGGGAGCTGTGGAATGTTTCCTGCTGGCAGTGATGGCCTATGACCGCTATGTAGCCATCTGTAACCCGCTGCACTATCCTCTCATCATGAACCAAAAGGCGTGTATCCAGATGGCAATTGGTTCTTGGATAAGTGGAATCCCAGTACAGATAGGACAAACATGTCAAATATTCTCTCTGAATTTCTGTAATGCTAACAAAATCAACCACTTCTTCTGTGATGTACCCCCCATGATCAAGCTAGCTTGTGGGGACACATCTCTGAATGAGATGTCCGTCTATTTAGTGGCTATGGTATTTGTTGCAGTCCCTTTTTTGTTGATACTTGCCTCTTACAGCAAAATTATTTCTACCATTCTGAAGCTTCCTACAGCCAAAGGAAGGGCTAAAGCCTTCACCACATGTTCTTCTCACCTCCTGGTTGTGCTTTTATTCTTTGGCTCTGCTACCATTACTTACCTACGACCAAAATCTAGTCATTCTGCGGGGGTTGACAAACTACTATCTCTTTTCTACACCATTGTGACTCCGATGTTTAATCCCTTGATATACACCCTTAGGAACAAGGATGTGATTGCAGCGCTAAGAAAGTTATTGCTCATAAAATAGTGTGATGGATTTAATTGTAAATTACTTAACTTCTTATTGCATAGTTATCAGAGAAGTCTTCCCCTGAGAAAATGATCAAGTTCTCATGATGTACTCTCTCATACTTATGAATACTCCCCTTGACCTAGCCTCTGGGTTCAGTCAGTAGCATACCAGATTGCAGAGATAAACTGCAGCATGCTCACTGCAGTTTAAGTCCATGGACTGGTAGCCTGAAAACACACCCAGTATGTGCATGCAAGCCCAAGAGCTCAGTGGGCTGAAGGACTAAGGAAAGGTGGTTGTGGTGTGTCCAAGCCCTATGAAGGATGGTTCTCTCTCTCTCTCTTTCACACACACATGCACACACATCACACATGCACACACACTTGCACATGATCTACCATAAAGAATTATTTTAAGGAGCCATAAATGAATAATTTTGAGGCACTGAACTCCCATTGGCCAACTGCAGTTCAATTCCCAGACTTGGCAGCTTGCTGTTTTATTTTGCCTCTCTCTCTTGTTCTCTCTGTCTCTGTCTCTATATCAAATTAAAATGATAGTAATAAATAATATTAAACAAATAATAATTTAAAGTAGTTTAAAAAAAAGGAAAAGCAACAACAACAACAAAATTATCCCACCATCTCTTATGCTTGGGTATATACAAATCAGAAAACACTCTCTCCAACATGTTCCATGCTAGTAAAATAATTTTGCCTCATTAAAATATAGTAATATGTGTCATATATTGTGCATTTAAAACTATACACAGAATTCAATCTGCTAAGTATTTTGCTTACAAATAAAGAAAGTATGCAAGATAAATTACCTTAACTTTGTAAATCTACACACCTCTCTTTGACAGCATTTTCCCACGATTCTCTACCACATAACATATGCTACCAAGAATAGTTTAATAATGAATATTTACTGACTTGGCCATTAAGTATATGAATGGATAAATTAATATCACTATATTCTAATCTAGTTCCTTGGCTACATCTAGAAATGTTAGAACATAAGTAGGTAGTAAAAGTATAACTAACTAACCTATTATGCACACATGTAGAATTATTGCAATCATAATACCCAAAGAAATGTTTTCACAGGATTTTGTCTTATTGTGATACCGTCCCACTGTCTCAACCATTTTATTTTATATTGTTTAACTTCTATAACTTTACTTCAAATAGCTATTCATAGACAAACTCAGAATTTTAAGAGAAAATATCTGCAATTTTAAAAGTGGAAGAAAGGGTTAGCCCTGTTACTTAGTGGTTAATAAAGAGAATCCTACATGGCTGACCTCGGTTTGCATCCTAGCCTCAGATGCTTAAAAAGAATGCCCAAGATCTTGACAGGATGCAGAAATGAAGGAGAAGTGATTGTGGCATGACCGTACCTCAGGGGGTGCTTTCTCTCTCTCTCTCTCTGTCTCTCTTTGGTGAGCACATACGCCCTCTGGCAATTAAAAAATGAATAACTAAAAGGACCTGCCAGTAGCATGGTGGCTAAGGAAACTGGATCCCACATGGCGAACTGCATGGTTCCAGTCCCAGACCCAATGCTAAAAATTCTGAGATGGAAAAGGAGCAAGAGGAAGAAGAAAAGGAGGAAGAAGAGGAGGAGGGGGAGGAGGAGAACAAAAAGTAAGAAAGGAAGAAGAAAGTAAAGAAGAAAGAAAGAAGAAGAAAGAAAGGAAGAAGAAAGAAAAAGAAAGAAAAGAAAAAAGAAAGTATGAATGCCATATGCAGAATTACCCAAAGTCTCTGTAGTTGCATTTACAGTAATATGCCTGATTTTTATGCTTTTCCCTTATCTGCTTGAAATTATAAACCTTTGAACTGACATTGTCAAGGAAAGTAAGGAAGCAGAGTATGTCAAAATTTCACCATGTGACTGACCACAGCTTGAATCCCAGAACTAGAAGTTTGCTCTTTTTCACTTTCTCTCTCTCTCTCCTCTCTCTCTCTCTCTCCCCCTCTCTTTGGTCAAATAAAAAAATAAGATTAAAATTAAACAAATAATTTTTCAGAAATAGATCATTTAACTCTTTAATAGTTTTTTAATAGCCTTTTTTTTCTTTTTACTTTTAAACTCCAACTGTGAACCCCTGATAAAAAACAAAATAACAAATTATTGAGGTGTAATATTATGTGGGAAGGAAATTATAAAGATGTGTTACAGTTATTCACTATGGTAGACAGGTATATTGTCTGCTACTACATAGCATCAATCTGATAGTGTACTTTGTAACTAGAACAACCATTTGCTTTATTTTTTCAAGTATTATAAAATCATTTTTATAAATATATTTTTTAAGAGGGATTTTTAGGTACCTAAAACAAAGAAAAAAATAACCATTAAAAATTAAACAACATGCTCCAGCAGGTGGACTGGTGGTTGAGATGCTAGATTCCACATGGCTGACTGTGAGATTTGAGTACTGAACCCAGTGACTTGAATATCATGGCCAACAATCCTGAGAGGACAATGGAGGAAAAGGGACTATGGTGTGACCATCCCCTTAGGATTGTGATAGTGATTTCTCACTTCCTCTCTCTCTCTCTCTCTTTCTCTCTCTCTCTCTCTCTCATTTCGTGAAGATATGCACCCTGTAACAAAAAAATAGCATAAAATAATTAAAATAAATAAATAAACAACATACATCACTCTCTAGATATCATTAGGTGAGTAAATATTCACATAATGGACAATCGAGAAAGAGAGATCAGTAAAAGCATAGAAAATCTAACTTTAAATGAAAAACAGAAAAAGCTTTAAAAAATATACAAATAAATGGAAATTAAACAATCTTCTTCTGAAGGACTTTGAAATTACTGAAGAAATTAGCATGAAATTCAGAAATTTATTGAAACAAATAATTACAAAAACATGCCTCGTACCTCATCCACATTGCCTTCCCATAACCATATTATGGTCTTTCGTATAATTAAGTCCTAAAAAGAAAGTTTATAGCAATTAGTCTTCAAAGAAAAAAAAAGAAAAGATAACAAATAAATAACCAATGAAGCAACTCAAGGAACTTGAAATCCAAAAACAATACAAAACAAAATTCCCAAAAATAATAGAAGAAAATAGATTATAATAATACAGCAGGAACAAAAGAAATCAATAATGAAAGAACAATACAAAATATAAATTAAAAAAAACTAGTTTTTTACAAAATGACAAAATATTAAATAGGTTAAGAAAAATAAATAAAGGACCCCGATAAATAAAATCAGGATTGAAAAGGTGCTATTACAACAGATATCAAAGAACTAAGATAGATGATTAGGGAATACTGAGTGATGATACACCAACAAATTGGAAACCTAGATGAGGTGGACAAATTTCTATATACAGACAATATTTACAGATTAAACCAGGAAGAAATAGAAAGACTGAATATACCAATAATAAACCATAAGATTGAATATAAAGTTTTCCAACAAAGGAAAACTCATATCTCAATGGCTTCATTGCTGAACTCTACAAAACCTTTAAGGAAGAATTAGCAACAATTTTCCTAAAACAATTTGTAAAAATCCAAATGGAAGAACCTTTCTAAACTCGTTTTAAAAAGCCAAGATCATCTTGAGATTGAAAATTGAGAACTCAACAAAAAAGAAAACTACAAGCCATCATTCTTGATGAATATAGATGCAAAAATCTTCAACAAAATGCTAGAAAATAAAATTCTACAACTTATCAAAAATATTACATGCCATGACCAAGTAGTTCAGTTCAGGAATGTAAGAATGGTTTCACATATATAAAATAATGAATATAATACATCAATTTAACAGAAGGAAAGATCACAGCCATATGAGCATATCTACTGAGGCAGAAAAGTATATGATAAAATAAATCCTTTCTTAATTAAGACTCTAAACAAAATAGCTATAGACTGTTCATTTCTTAGCACAATAAAAGCCATCTATGAGAAATTCATAGCTAACCTCATATTAAATGGAGAAAAGATAAAACTCTCCCACTGAAAATTGAAAAAATGATGGGCCAGCCTATGGCCTGGTGGTTATGTGAGCTAGATCCCACATGACCAAATAAAGTGTGGATCTGCCAGCTTGAAACACAGGCTGGACACATGTAGGTATATGCCCCAAACTCCAAGAAAAGGGAGAAATAAAGAAGTGATTCTGGTGTGACCATTCTCTATAAAGAGTACTTTCCCACTCTATGACTGAAACTGATTGACTAAAGGATACAGAAACATAGTAAATGAATGCAAATACCAGATATAGTGTTTGTGAAAGAGTAGAGTCTGAGGAAGGCATTCAGAAGAAAAATAGAGAGGCAAAGCTTTCATAGGACAAAGAAATGTGATATTAGCTGTTGAAGATAATTTTATAGTTTTATAAACTATTGATTAGGGAGAAATGTTCACACGTTGAAATATTCACTTTGTAAGCTAAATAATGTGATTGAATGTATAAAAGAAAATGAAATTTTAAAAAAAGGAGCACTTTTTCACTTTCCCTCATTCTCTCTAGTGAGTGTATGTGCTCTCTGGCAAAAAAAAAAAAAAAAAAAAAAAAAAAAAATTGATGACAAACAGGAGCAAGACCAGGTTCCCTACTTTCTCCACTTTTTTTTTTCTTTTATTCTTTTAAGAATTAGCTAAGTTAAGAGCGTAGGAAATTGGGGGGGGGCGAGGAATGGAGAGATAAGACACTTGTGGGACACAGATAAGGTTTATCATCTGTTGACGGGGATGTGTATGGTGGTCTCAACTGTCAACTGGGCTGGACTGAAGTATATATCATGCCAAGTAAAGTCTCTTCACAATCTAAATGATGTATAGTGATTTAGTGTATGAATAATAATAAAAAATAATAAATAATTTTATTTAATTTTTAAAATTTATTTTAATTTGACCAGAGAGTGACAGTGAGAGAGAGAAAGAGAGAGAAAGTGAGAAAGCAAGCTGCCAGATCCAGGACTCGAACCTCAGTCAATATGGAAGTCCAGTTCCTTTAACCACCTCGTCA